CTGGAAAGCTGAAATTTTAGAAGAATATTCCCTGTCCAAATACAACTTGAAGGTTTCAAATTCAGCTTCCAGATATGCGTGGTTCTCATGTACGGGCAATAAATTTTCTGGTGGGAAAATTGCTTATCGACCAGTCATTTTCAAAAAGCGACCGCTAAACGAAAATTGTTTATTTTCGTTTGCGAAAAATTTACCATAATTTACCGTGGTGAGCGCACAAGGTAGATGTGAGACAACTACCACTCATGCAGTTAACTCAGTTACTTCAGGTCTGGTGCAAAAACGCATGGTCGCACCGGCAAGCTGGTGCGTTCCAGTTTGGGTCACTAATGTGTTAATCGAGCGTTACGCACCTGAAGATGAGCTTCGAGTGGAATAAAAGCAAAAGAACGAAATCGCCTAGTTTTTTGGAATGCTTTTCCTCGGCGTACAGCAATATGCCTGATGAGTTACGAGCCTCAATCTGCAAACAAATGAGGTTCGGAGTTTAGAAATGAGCATACAAGAAAATTATGGATTGCGAAAGTTCTGAGTAATTAAAAAGATTAAAGTTTTTTCTTACCTGAATCCGGGCAGAAAACGGCTTAGCCATCAGTTTCTGAACATTAGCCTGTATTGCAGACTTTCCGTTTAGATACCATGAATTGTTCAAGCTATCGTTCTTTTCTGCAAACACCTAGTATAGAAATGCGAATTTCATTCGAAGTAATAATATTGATTTAATGTTGTCGTCAAAGTAAACTTCGTGAGGCTTTTCAAGTGGCAAGAAAGACAAGTAGATTAACGGAACTATTAAATGGTATCCATGCCTTGCTGGATACATTCGAGCGAACCTTGTATACACTGTGTCAGATCTTTGGATGGGAAGAATCCTTGCCGACATTCGCAGCTCTTCAGCCGAAGCGCATTTAGCTGGCCGCACAGCGAGTTATAAACAAGACAGTCAGCGTCATCCACACAAAGATTTCCCAGTGCTGGCGCTGAATCCATTTCACGCCCCCGGCGTTTTTGCATCTCATCGCCACTACCATCTGAAATATACCAGTGCATATTTGTCAGAACAAGTGAATGGTACTCACAGGGATTAATAAGCAATGTCCAAAAGGCTTCGAAGAGATGCCATCTTATCAGGCGGCAAAACTTAACTGAGAATAGGCAACACAGGCTATAGGAAGCACAAAAAATTACGGTAAGAAACAGACCGTGTGGACATTTGCCCAGTGTCCTAGGGACCAGGTCCAGTTGGTGGGTACAAGCAAATTGCTGAAGTTCGCAAATATTGTCATAAGTGCTTCCATCGGAACCGCATACAGTCATGCTGGCGACCAGTCCAAGATAATCCATGGAGCAAGTGCGAGGACATTTGCAGTTCGGCATTCCCGATGCTCCGGAAACACATTTAGCACCATGATGGCACTGCAGTTCGTTGCACCTTCTTAAATTCAACAATGGATACTTTGCTCAGCTGCAGTTCACAGTATAATTCTTCATCTATGCGGCTGACAATTTTTCAGTTGCTTTGTCCAGTGTTGCTCCGCCAGGTAGTCAGTTGCTGGGGATTTTGGTGTTTTTTTATGCGTTTTTTTGCAGCTGTGCAGTGCGAAAAACGCATATTGACGAGAGGCTGTCTGTGTGTGTGTGT